TTATAAAATATAATATTGAAATTAAAAATATATATATTTTTTTATTAAATGTATAAAGCAAATCCCATCGTATGTAACTTATAGGCGTATAAACCTTGATCAGATTCAGATAATGATATGTAACCAACTCGGTTAGACATAGTAGGTACGTACAAGAAGCGGTCATGTATTTTATTATAATACAAAATGCATTAGAATAATTATGTTGTTGATATTAAATAGTAAGTTATCGACAGACTATTGGTAAAAAAGTAGAATTATTCTTGACCACAAAAACACGCTTTATTATTTTTATGTAGAAAAAAATCCGAGTATAATATTAAAACGAAATTATGCTGTCTTCTAATAATTTTATTTCACAACTATGTCACAGTAAGGCACGATCAATATTTACAGTTAACATTTTTTATTTTTATGAAACCTTTAGGATTGAACCACCTATTTGAGAAACGAGGTAGGCAAGTCAAAAAATATCACAAATTGAGATATTGAATGGAATGTGCTATCAAATGATAGACGGATCATGTGTGAACATTTGCAAAAATAATATTTAATTTTACCACTGTAAATAATCAGTATGAAAGAGAAATAACCACGTATCACTGGTAACGTAAGAACAGTTTTTCTTCTTTTCTCAGAATTACCTATTACGGACTTAAGTCGTTTCTCAAATAGGTGGTTCAATTATTAATTAAATTTCAAAAACATATTCCTAATTGATGTTTTTTAATTTAAAACATGCATTTCTATGTTTCTACTCACATATCCTTAACCAATCCACAAATTAAATAAATCAATAATTACTAATTAGCTACTATCATAAATTATTAATAATATTATGATATGATATATATTTACGTAATAAATTTAGGCAAATTCACATATCTGTCATAACTTATATGCTATTTTTACGTTCACATTAAAAATTGGAAAATTCTCGATTTAACTTCTAAATTATTCTAAATTAATTAAAACTTATACTGAATGTATCTGTGTAACGTAACTAAGTGACTCCAACTTTCAATGCGGGAAATGCCAACCAAATGTATATGTATAAAAAACGGTAACATAATGTAACATAGTGTCTGTGTATACTGTAACGTAATAAATCTTAGAAGTCATTGACCGTTGAAAACATTAAACATTTGGGTTGCCTTGTATAAAAAATATTCAACTAATGATTACACATTTCTCCTAAAGAAATTAGAAATAAATATTCAATAAATAATTATGTGAAATTTGTGCCTGTCAATGTGTACCTTTGTTTATTTCATACGTTTCTTTTATACTTCAAGTTTAACGGAATGGTTAAAGTGAATGGATAAAGTATACAGACATTGATATATTATCAAATAAGTATATTTTGTTATTAAACCTTATTAATCTTGTTTTTTATCAAACGGTTATATTTTGACCACAAGAACATTGAATCAATTAATTTCATAAAGATAATAAACTATTCAAAATAATATTTTGGTTGCTAGCCAAAATTCCATTTTGATATGGTTCACGTGTGACAAATATAATATATTGGACATGGAAAATCGATGTTTGGCATATTCTTTAAAATACTAATACTTTAATCATTAATCATCTTATAAATTACTTGTAGGTAATAAAAGGAATATTAAGACATTTTTAAATCCATAAAGTAGATTTTCAAATATATTCGGAATTAATCTATTGTGTATATTTATGATATTATTCTCTGACTTTAAAGATCATGTATCATATTTATTATTAGTTAGAAAATTAAATATAGTAGACATTTATAATCTATTACTTTGAAAATGAAATTCATTATTTTAATAATTTAGAGTAGTATGTATTTGTATGTTCACAGTTCGTTTTTCCACGGTAATTTTTTTTTGTTCAAGCGGGAATGTTCCCCTCGGACGACTCAGAATTACCGTATCACACAATACGGTAATTTCACACTCAGTGTCCACCTATTTACCACTCACATGAAAATATTTACCGTGTACACATTTTTTTTTAATGAAACCTTACTAAATTAATATTTCAAGTAAAAACACAAATTATTAAATAAATTCTTTTTATTGTTATAAATTAATATTATATTTACACAAGTTTTCTTATTTTTCTATCAAACGCTCCGATTATGGTTATCGATACTTCAAAACAGAATGATTCAGCTACAGCCTCAGCAGTAGATGTTCAATTATAAATTGAGGCATCGGAATCCCTTACAGGTGTAACTGCTTATTGTTTATTAATTCATGATCGTATCGTAGAATATGTACCTTTTACTAGAGAAGTAAGAAAACGTGTGTAAATATAATATTAATTTATAACAATAAAAAAAATTTATTTAATAATTTGTGTTTTTACTTGAAATATTAATTTAGTAAGGTTTCATGAAAAAAAAATGTGTACACGGTAAATATTTTCATGTGAGCGGTAAATAGGTGGACACTGAGTGTGAAATTACCGTATTGTGTGATACGGTAATTCTGAGTCGTCCGAGTGGAACATTCCCGCTTGCACAAAAAAAATTACCGTGGAAAAACGAACTGTGAACATACAAATGCATACTACTATTTAGTTTTATTATGTTTCTTTAAATTCAAATTTTACAACAAATACTTTGTTGGACATATTCTCACACGTTTACGTGTATATGTATTTATGATTTATCTCAATAACCATATGAAAAATATTATTTTGAAATTCAAATACATTTATTATAGTTTACATAAATCCGTTAAAAAGAATAACATTATTTTGGTTCTAATTGGATTTTGGTCCCTAAATATATTTCATTAAAATATGGAAGTTTCATTGTAATCGAAAAACTATTGTTAGGTTACGGAATTTCTATCCGACTTGTAAATTAATCTTAAAATATGGAATTTTTTAAAACTATGAACGATATGGAATTAAAATATTTAACCTTAACAATATTTATATAATTTAAATAAATTGAAAAAACTTTCTGCAATATACTTGAGTATTGTGTGAGTTTGATATATGTGTTATTTATGAATTATTAGAACACAAAAGATCAACATAATTTGAAACTACAGTTAATGAATCGAAAGAATAATCCAATTATATGTAAATAGTATAATTTTAAATCCACATATTTATTGAAGTGACATATTTTGTAAGTAATAATTTAATAATAATGTATTTCTTAGATCGTAATTTTAAATTTATTCAAATAATAAAACAAAATTAGTATAGCATAGAATGGGGTGTTAAAATTTATTTGTTGTGCTTTTTTAATAGTTTCATAGACTTATAAAATCCTAACCCATACAAGGCACATGTCGGCTATTGTATTGTTTAATCACACGGTATATTATAAAACAAATTGAAAAAACCAAAAAATAAACATTAAGTACAAATCTATTAAAAATAAAAATATTAAGATTTATTTTAATAATAAAAAGACGATTATATGGTGTAAAATTTGATCACCAATAACATAGCGTTAAAGTATTCACAAATAAACAAAAGAAATATAATTGTTCAACTTTGTTTTTTTAACAATCATTACTCATTCGTCAAATAAATAGAACCTATCTATAATATGTATATATAAATTTAAAACCATACTAACTACCTCCTTTTAGTCCTTTTAAATTAAATACAAGTCAATATAAATCTGCAGGAACAAGAATCGAGTGGAAATGTTTTTTTTCTATTCAAGCGGAGAATAAAAATATTGTAAAAACAATAAATATAAGCATAAAACATACTTTCACCCAAAAAATTATATGATATTTTCTATACTGAATCTTTGGTGAACGCACAATCTAAATGTCGTTCAAGACACATGTGGCTATACAAGATGATTCACCAAGCATGTCCACGCCATTTTTTCCTCAAATAATACATTTATTCAAATATTCATTCATGGAATTTTTAAGCATATTTATGTACAGAACACATTTTCAAATATTTATATTTTCTATTCCATTTAAGAAATGACCCGCGGTGGTACCAACTTCTTTTTTACAAATGAGAACCAACCATTTTTTAAAGTAAATTGTTAATCAAGTGATTTTTATAAAAATGTTGATGTTTCTGGGGTTATGACAATTTTTATACACATTAACATTTTCGAAAAGGTCATATTTAAGGGGAAAAGGTACTTTTTATTTAAAAAAAAGATGTGGATACCGCTACAAGACACTCTTTGATTACAATAAAAAATCTTAGCGGTTGAAATTATTTTTTTAAGTATAAATATACTTAAGAATTCCGAAAAAAAGAAATTAGAATAAATTCATCATTAGGTTAAATATTTGTATTGAGTATACTGGTGAATCATCCAGTTTATTATTATTAGATACATAAGATGTGTAATAATAACGGTATTATAATGTGTAATATAATATGTACTATAATATATTATATAGGTTTAGGTTATAGAATCGAAAATATTGGTCAAAGGGCGCAGTGTTTCTATCAAATGTTACCTACCAACTCAATGGCTACTCCACCATTTTTTCTCAAACTTAAGAAATAAGCCTTTACGAATCTTAAACAAAATATTGTATTTGTGCTACCTTTACTTTTTTTTATGTGGTCTTTACTTTGTAGGATACTGAATCAAAAAAAAAACAAAAACAGACTTTTCGTGAAAACTAAACCCATAATTTCACGGTTGCTTGAACAATAACTCTGAGCACATCGCACATATTATACAGATTATGTGTACGTGATACGTCTTTCGAAGAATAATGTATCTTTATAGTATTCCAATTTGGTAACAATAGTTGTATAATTTGATTTTTTTTTTAATTTTAAGAGAAATATTAGAAACAAAAATCACTGTGCAATATTAGAAGAAAAGATATTATCGTATATTATATTATATTTTTGTAAACACTAAACAGTTATTAATTATCATTATTATCAATAATTATTATTTTCAAATAAACCTAATATTCAAAGCCCGTTCAGTATCTTTTGATCAGTTAATTAGTCCAATTATAAACGCATTGCGAACAATTTTATTTTTGATTCAGATGATGACCGTATTGTTGTCTATCAGTTGACAGACAGCTTTTGAATAATCATGGATGGCGTCAGCGGTGTCGTCAATGATACTTCCAACAGCACTCTATCCGTCGACGAATACGACTATGAATACTCGGAGCGACCCGAAACGTACATCGTTCCGGTGCTGTTTGCGTTCATATTTTTCGTGGGGACCGTCGGAAACGGGTCTCTGGTGTTGATATTCATCCGGCACAGGCACATGATCAACGTGCCAAACATATACATACTCAGTCTGGCGTTGGGCGATCTGCTGGTCCTGTTGAGCTGCATACCGTTCACGTCCACCATCTACACGGTACGTGTTGATCCCTTCGTTTAAACATGAAAATGATAAGATTACATTTTTTTTAAATATCATTAAAGAGTATGCACTATGCGGATTATGTGGTTAAATCACCTATGTGCGTAGATTATCAGTATATATATTTGATAAATGTGTATTGTACGCGAGGTATACTTTTTATACTGTGAACAAAATATTGCACAGGTACTTAAATACACATATTTGAGTGTTTGAGCCGCGATAGCAGTAACTGTCATATTATATGACATAATATACATATCGCTTATGTGTACACAAAGGATATAGATTATGCGACTGTGGCTTAAAATAATCAAGAGTTGGTTCGGTTATAGGAGTGTTGCTGTTCTTCTATAGATCGACAGTAATTATATGGGATATTATTACGCTCATAAGGAGCAAACAAGACTGTGACCAAAGTGTTGCAGCTAACTAGATTTTTTTTACATAAATTATAATTTTTAGAACATACAAGTAAAGAATTACTAAATATAAACTGCAGCATATCGACACGTGTCTCGAAAGTATAATATCTTGTTTGCATAATAATAATAATAGTCATAAAATCATAGATTTTGGTTTATTGCTCTACATTATAAACGTAAAAAGAATATTAGCAAAATAACCGAGATTTTATTTATGTATTTTACCCAAAATATTTAGAATTCATAACACCGAAAAACTTAATCACCAAGTAAAAAAAAATATAAATACGAACACAAAACTGCTTACATTTTTATGACAATCAACATTCTTTTCAAACTCTCTTATAAATAGTATGGCAAAAACGTTGAATCATCAATTTCAAATAATATGCATTCATGATGTGTCACTTGCCTTCATTATCAAAGCGAGACTTCCGCTATTACTATCCAACTTTGTTCGGGCTATTTTTACTAATATATTACACGGCGCAATGTATAGGCAATATAGGTACACATGTGCGCTGAATGTTAGAAAAATTTAAAAACGTTTTAAATATTATTTAATAATTGCATATTATAATGCTAAAAGTATTTTTTTTTCCACTTAAACGTACGTCCATACTTTATGATTTGGAGTGAGGACAATTTCGAACGATTTCAAATGGCATAGAAGACCATTCAAATTTATTTTTCCGGAAATTCATGATCGATTTACGGGAGTTGTGTAATGTACTGGAGTATAAAATATTGTTTTTGTTTGATTATAATATTTTATAACCGAGATCGGCTTATTGCAATACACCGTTTTGACTGTTAAAGAGTTTAGTACAGACTCTAAAATATGCCCTTTTTACCCACAGCATTACCTTGTACTTATAAATAATATTTTTAGGGTGATATTATAATCATAGACTGAAATTTTTTAATACCAGTCTTCAAATAGAAAAAAAAACACATTTTTGATATAATATCAATACGAATTTAAAACTAAATAAGTTAATGGCCGATTTGCATTTTAATTGTTTTATTTTGGATGAAGTAATTTTCATCTTTTAAAATAAATAATTATATTCAAAATTACTATTTTCACCGATTTTAAGACTAAAAAACAATATATGTTATCCTCAAATATCCATTTATTAAAAACAGAATGCTTGATTAAATAAACAATTTTTAATTATAATATTTTTATCAGAATTTTGAATTATAAGTACACATCTATTACATTAAAATCATTGTCCCCTTTCTTGTATTTACATTGGAGGACAATACAGAGAAAAAGTAAGATCCTCTAGTAGGTGTGTACAAAAATTGATTAAAACATACTAAACCGCTGAAGTTTTCTCAACGGGAGAATTCTTCATACCATGAAACATGTATTTTTAGATAGTTCTTAAGTATCATTGGGTACAATATTTATTAATATAAAAGTATAAGTAAATAACCAATATAGATTACAATTACATTCTGTTTAATTCAATGTAATAAACAAAATAAATATAAAAATACATACATTGATAATTAATTATAGTTGTACAAATATAATATAGTTATCTTAGAATAATTAATTAAACGATTAATTTAAGAAGTCGTATCTACTTGACAAATTGCCAAGAGTTTCTTATTTAATTTATTCCCATTTATATTTAATATAATATCTTTCAGCGAAAATGTAATTGCAAGAAATTATAAAAGTTTACAGCCTTAAAGCTATTAATATTTTTAATTGATTCATTTCAAAAGTATTTATATTTATAAAAATGCGGTCTGCCGTTAGGACATTCAGACGAATAGTCAATAGTTAAATTATTTAAATTTAGATTCCAATTAATAAATTTAGTTTCAAGTATAATAATATATTATTACCTAACATATTGAAAAACAATGTAACCCAACTTTATTAAACCTTAAGTTAATTATGTTCATTAAGTTATACAATATTCAATTATTTACACTGATTGTCTTTTGTTGATGTATTACTTAAATTAAATATTCGAAGTACAAAATAATAAAATAAGCTTTGATTTCATTTGCTGCAATGCATACATTAAAAATAAATAAAACAAGATATACATAATATGTATATTAAAATGCTAACTATAAATGAATAATCACCAATGCTTTTTATGTACGATACATAAAATTATACTTTTTATAAAATATAATATAAATATATAAATACTATAACATAAATAAATAAATAAATAAATAAATAAATAAATAAATAAATACTACAGTAAATAAATTGTATTTTGTAACATATGTAATATGTAAAATAATAACTACGCATAATTTATTACACTAAAATAATGCATATTTAAAATGTAATTATATATGAGTGTGAGTAAAATTGATTTACAGATTAAACAAAAAATGGGTTTATGTCAATATAAACATTATATGTAACGAAAATACTGACCTATTAGAACTTTTGTAATACTATAAAAACAACAAAATGCGTATTTCCATTAATTCAGCATAATAGTCACCTACTGGTTTGTTATTACTTATTACCTCGCCCAAGTATCTGAACAATTTATCGCCGTACAGGTTTGTTATTACCTTCCACCTGTATAATATGGTACTATAATATTATTATACTCACATGCGACATCCATCTGAAAATGTATGTTACAATTATACAATTATATATTAATTTATTATAATAAATATTATGAAAAGTTAATTTTTAAAAATATGATTTTAAACAGATAATATTCAATATGATGTCTAAGTATGTTTCCGTCCACTATTCTTCGTAGTTTGTAGATTTATCTACATTTTATATTATGTTTTCCAATGTCTATTATAAATTTAAAATATGCATTTACTCAAGTAATCCCAAAATTCCAATCTAAATATTGAATTCAAAGACCTTAAGTAACAATAGTTATCAAGATTCTTTTTAAAATCATTTTCACAAGTGTGACTGTTAATTGTTTTTTAGAGGATCATGGTAGGTACCGCTTTCAAAGGAGTAATTGTCTCAAAAAAAGGATAAGTGCTATTTGGTTTAAGGTTCAATATTGTCAATATGTTTCATATTATACTCATGTACTCTTTGCGCATGAGTTGGCTGTGAAGTTTCTTGAATGAGGCATTGGAAGAAAAACCCAGTAGTCGATATTGGAAAAACTACTTGTGTGCGTTTGGCAAATGGAAAACAATAACAACCATTGTAGATGGTTCAAAATTAATTGTAGAAATATATGAAAGTCTTTTTGTACGCTGGACAAATAATACTGGTCCTTCAATCACAACAATAGATGCCACGTGGTATATGATTGTAGACCGGAGAATTTTTCGTTGTGAAGAACGCGCACTATTGTATCAATCATTAACGAATATAATATTAAACCACGTTTCATAGTTTTTTGAAAGTTGAAAAGTTAATACAATTTTCTTCGTCCCAGCACAGACACAGAGTGTGGTAAGCAATAAGGTGTAGTTAAATGGGGCAACAAAACCCGTTGATCAAGGTATATATAGAAACTTTTTTTATATTTGTATGAGAAGGAATTTACGAGATGGTAAAAATCAAATAACATAAATCTATGATAGATAGTTTAAGATTGACAGGCTTAGTAGATACTCTATTAGTAGATAGTATTACATTTTTTCTCTCTTTTGTAATATTTAAAAGATAATATATTGTTTTTACTGTTTTTTCAAAAGTTTTTTACGAATAAATAAAAATAGTATGTTGCTGCGACTCGTAAATAATTCGTCATAAACAGATGGCGAAACGAAACGTTTTCCAGATACCTACCCAGCAATGCGATAAAAATAAACCAATAGGTACTGTATGTTATAATGTATTTTAAGTACCTGTATAAATTATATCTTACCTGTACCTAAACTTATTATTTGAAAAATGATGTTCTAGAAGTTATGAGTTTTAATAAGTGCTCATAAAATGTTGGGCTTGAAGTATAGTTATTATATACAAATAATTTATACAAATATTGAATACAAGTTTGATCCTAGTTGGGCTTGTACAAAAAAAAATCAGGGTTCATCATATTACTAAATATAATTTATAGTAATGAAATATTAATTATTAAATGTTAATAGTGCTTAAAGGCGGTATCTATATTATTTTATTTTATGTTGTATAAGTGAACGTTTCAAATAAACAGTATGTTAATGTATTTAAATAAAATAATAATAAAAAGAAAAAATTATAATTCATGTACTAGTGAACAGATATAGTCATATTAATTAATATTAACTATCAAGTTTATTAGTACAAAACGACAAAGAATCTTTTTGTAACTCTACAACAGGGGTCACCAGCTGCCAACTGCGGATCATATTTTTACGGACCCTTATCTTGAGTAGTTTTTAGATTGTTATTATATAAATATAGAAACTAGTAGTGTGTCATATAAAATATTACGTCAAAAAAAATTTTAAGTAATTCATACAAATACAAATTTAAAAAAAATGTATTTATTAATATGCGTAATAGCCATTAAAACTGTTTGGGACCGCGGAAAGATTGGTAAGTTTCAAAAAGGACCGGCATATAAATTTGTTGGTGACCCCTGCTATATAATATCACTATAACAGACATATAAATTACAACTACACGTTCAAATCGACTTATTAATGATTAGGTAGATACTATTAAGTATATATTTAAAATTCTACAGTGCCGTAACCAAGGGGGCTATAGGAATTAATCCCCCTCCTGACATATCAAACTTACTAAACCCTTTAGTATCTTAGTCCTAGCAAAAAAAGTATTGGAGCCTACGTCTCCAAAAAAAAATCCAGGCTGAAGTACTGGAATATATTTTGCAGATCCTTAAATGCTCAGAGAATGTATGTTGCTAATTATGGATAGAGCAGAAACAATAATCACGTACAGCAAGCTATAAAAGCTTGACAAAACTGTGGGACTTAGGTTTAAACAATTTTAATTTTGAAAACTAATTAAAAATCTTCAACTAGTCTACTCAAGTATGGCCTTGAAAATTTATAGTTTTTACAAAAATTTATAACCTACTTACATACATGAAATACTAAAATCCTTATTTTTTGAATTGTCTATATCTTATCGACGAATCTTAATAAATAAAATCCCCAACAGTATCACCACTAATAGAGAAAAACTGGTATTATGAGAAATTATTAATTGATAACTGTGGATGTGTGTATGCATATATATCACTCGCCCCAAATTCCCTACCATTATCATACTACTTAGAGCAATAATTATAGTAAACATGTTGTACAATAATTAATTTCTCATGTGTGATCCTACTGCATTGAGGTAGGTTCGAGTTATCAGTAAATCACAAGTGCACAATCTGGTTTTAAATAATCTGTGATCATATTATCATTTTAAAACACCAAGTCTGTGTCTACTGTATCATGCGACGATAATAATATTAGTGTACCGTTGCATGTCCTGCAGGTGCCGTCGTGGCCGTTCGGGTTGACCATCTGCAAGGTGTCCGAGACAACCAAGGACATATCGATCGGCGTGACAGTGTTCACATTGACCGCCCTGAGCGCCGACCGGTTCTTCGCCATCGTGGACCCGATGCGCAAGCTGCACGCTTCCGTGGGCGGCCGCCGGGCCACCAAGTTCACCGTCACAGTGGCAGTGACCATATGGTGCCTGGCAGTGGCGTGCGCCGTGCCCGCGGCCACCAACTCGTACGTCCGGCAGTTCCGGGTGAACAACGTGACGCTGTTCGAGGCGTGCTATCCGTACCCCGATGAACTGGGACCTACCTATCCGAGATTCGTCGTTGTCGTCCGGTTCCTGGTCTACTACGTGGTTCCGCTGTCCGCCATCGCGTGCTTCTACGCCATGATGGCGCGGCACCTCATCAACAGCACCAGGAACATGCCAGGCGAAGTCCAGGTGAGCGCCGATGGGTAGGATATAGAAATTCCAAAAATATGTAAAGTCTCCCATCACTTCTGACCGATAGCCACGGATTCTTTCAATATGATATTAGTATATCGTAAAACATTTATCCTGTTTGGATTGGCAACATTTAGACCTATACCTAAATGACGGCTAACACCGTGCGATAAACAAATATATAAAATATTTTAAAAAAGCACTGGTACCTATAAAAATACATCCTTACAAGGTACAAGTTCCAAAGTTATTAGCTATCTGACTAGTTGTGGGCCGCAAGCTCACAAACATGATTCACGTTATTGTTAAATAAAATGTAAAGATGATTCGTGACTAGTATACTAACATGTCAGCAATTATAGGGTATCTGTATATTATGTATTTATAATTTATGCATATTAGATAATAGAAGAATTAGGCTGGAAATGCACCGGCTGCAAAATGTTGTTTTGAAACATTATGTAATGAAACATTTTAATGCGCATCAAAAGATATCAGATATAAACGCATTGAATCATTTTGAAATCTCTGAAATTTTTTCAGTACATGATTTTTTATTTTTTTTTCATTGAACTTAAGCCCGGCAACTACGGCCATTAGCTGTTCTAGGGGTTATGAACTATAGTAGGGGTAAGGTTGGTACGGAAGGTTGTTTTTATGATTGTTAGGGTTGTTACGGTAGGTAGCAAACACGTGTATGTGTGTGCAAGGTTTTTAACAACTACGAACCCGGGTGGTCGGTCACCCATCTGGGAGCTAGTAGTTGTGGTCGTTACTTACTCCCAGTCCCATTCCGCGACTGGTAGCAGCCAACGCACCACGTCAAGCCACAGTACATGATTATCATCAGTTGTAATGACAAGTGTTTTTGTTCAGTTTTCTCCCAATTCTAAATATGGATAAACCAGTTGAAATGTATATTTTGTTGTGACAATTTTCGGAGCTTTTGGATATAGAAAATGAAAGACAAAATAGATTTTGAGTTCATCCAATAAACCAAAATATAATTATTTTTGATTTTATTCATGAACTAAGGAACGATCCTAAAAAAAATATACAACTGCCGAATGAAATTTAAATGAAATTATAGTCTATGACATGGTTGTCTACCTACAAGTTTAGATTAGCCACTTTTTGACGTTTCAACGTTATGCATTACAAGAATGCTATTAATATTGAGATAAAAATGTAATTTCAATTGTAATATAATATTATGTAATGGTTAGATAGTGGTTTTTAACGGTAGTTAACGTTAATACACATTTTTTGTATAGAACTTAATTCATAAATAATAATAAAAATAAAAATAATATAAACAAATATCATAGCATGGAAGCCAAAATAAAGCAAAATCATCCAGAATGATTTGAAATGGAACACAACCATAGTTTGGACCTACACAAAAACTCGCCGGAAAACAAATCCGAGAATTCTCAGTTAATTCCTCGCATCGCACAAATTTTTAATTATTTTACTACTCTAAAATTGGATATCAGTGAGAGACAGGAATTGTTGAGACAATTCCAAAGGACTTGAATAGAAGTACCACCGGTGTATTAATGAGCTAACCCGTTTCGTTCAGTTGTGTATAGCATTCCTTTCGCATGCCATTTTTATTTTTATCAATATTTTTTCCCGACTGCGAAATGTCTAAAACTTATCTTAAATGTCAGATGGCTATTATAATTACAGAAGTCAAAGGCCGTTTTGATAGATTTTTTTTGGGTTGTTGGATGGGTGAGTGGTAATGAGGATCGATGCTATTGTTATTATAAATACTACAGCACCTATGGAAATAACCTCTATTTTTTCAAATTGAATTGTCATCTTGAAGCGCTTGTAGCTTCCTACCGTGTATTTTATTAATTACTATTTTATCAAATTTTTCCCATTTTTCCGGCATAAACAACTATAATTTTAAAAATATGCTCAAAACTCTTAAAAATATGTAAAAATATGCAAAATAAAACATTTAATACCATAAAACGTGATTTTATTTTACGACGACCCATAAATATTTGAATAACAACAGCCCGCACCGTAATAGATTTATCAGTAACAGAGGCTTTTTTTAAACTTAGTTGGCAATTTATATTGATGTTGTGTATTATTTTAAGATGGCGTAACTTAATGGTTTTTGATAGATTCAGTCAAATAATAATAGTTATAGTAATGTAATGATATAGTAAAGAATCTGAAGACTTATTATTAATAATAATAATTATAAACTAAGATAAATATTAAATATGTTGCCGATATTGAATCAATATTGTACAAACATTTTTGTAAAATGTAATATTGTACATTTTTTACAGCGTGAATTCAGAATTGTGAAAATCTGAAACACATAATTTAACAATTTTTCTAGGACAATTATTTCTTAATATTTTTACCAATTAGGTATTTTATATCAGCAATACTGTAAGAATAATAGAACACATGTTCTTATCATATTAACCTACTCAAATTCAATAGTGATTTAGTCCTCAAGTTTTTTAATTTTTGTTTTATATTATAATATTTATAATACTGTCAACTAATTATTTAGAATCAGTTTTGGATTTGATTTGAAATCAATTTATAATTTTTATACATTTAGATCAATAATTAAGTATCAAACAAATTAATGGTAAAATCAAAAAATACAATAATTCTAAAAAAATGTTTGGTTAATTTATCGTTTATTCAGAAATTAAATTAGATTTAAGTAAGTAACCATAAATGTATAACTATAAAAAATTTACTTATTCTAATAATTTTTAATCAGAATCAAGAAACTGATTCTAATAATAATTTGATAATTATATCATATGAACTGTAAAATAATATAATAACATTATCATAGCATTATGAATTGTGTAGTTTCAAATTTTGAGCAAAAAGTTCACCTGATGAAATTTCAGAAGATTAAGATTAGGAAAACGAGCTGAAATTCCACGGACAAGGTGAAGAGTGGACAGATGAAAGTCAGCCTTATAATATACTATTATTTCATTCAATTTTTAATGATATAAAAAACTTATAATATTGTCTACAGATTTTCATGACTGGAAAAGTTTTTAAACGAACCATTCTATATTAAAGATACAATATAAAAACTGCGCATAAAACGTATACGGCTTATTAAAAATATTGTGTATATATACACAGATCTTATAAGATCTTTTTTTGTGGTTAATTATTTGATCGGATTTTTCTCACACCTTAATATTTTTAATACCGGTCACCAGGAATTCGCTGATAATAAAATAAGTCAATAACGTAATTTAAAGTTTAAGCGAAAAAACCACCAATATTATCAACATTATCTGAGCATCAACACGATATTTGAATGATTACATCATTTACATCAAACATAGTATTCGTCCGACGAATGGTGACAAAATCATTTGTTGAGACTTACGAGTGTTGCATTTATTTGCCTCGCACCCGTTCTACTTTTGCCATAGATTTGGATTCTAAAATTCCTCAGAAACGACTATCGATAAGGGCTGTACAAATCCACTGACGTACAGATCTGACGTCGTCGATTTTATGATAATCACCTGATGCACTAATGGCTGTATACTCGACAGTACACAGTCCCGCGATAAGCTGGTTAGCAGAAACTCGAAATTCCAATAACTTTTACTACTCACTAGTGACAGGGAAATAAAAATAAATAGGAACGTGGTTTATGATAGTGGAATTTATTTTCTTATGACATGCGATTATTGCATCCGTCAAACATTTTACGAGGTGCAATTGAAGCGTAAAAGTGATTTTATAGTTATTATTTTTTCCCAGATATTTTGCTGTGGTTTTTTTTTGTGTTACCGATGATATATTATATTTTTATGTTGCGATTCTGAATTGCCGTCAACTTCTTCGACGGTCATTCAATTGATTAAATATTACCGTAGGCACTATTTACGCATTATGATAGGGTCTTCATACGTATCACCCAATAATAATGCAATTGAATAACTACCTCGAATGGCTAGTATTTTTTATACTACTGTCTGAAACATGCGTGGTTGAATATTACTAGATAACGATAATTGTTTTTGGTCCGACCCGGTCCAGAATTTGGTATCCTCGTAGTCTATAAACTTTAATAGCACAGATTAAACCAGCTGCTGCCGACTGCACATAAATTCAAAAATCCGTCCTTGCGCACTTGTGTATGTATATTGTATATACTCCGACGACCGCTCAGCTTTATTTCAGATTAATTATAATTTTACCTAGTTTAGATCTCCTAACCGTCGGTCAAGAGTCATTAAATTATATGTATTTTATAAATTTTTCCAAAACCACTGTTTTATTAGCGCTTCCACGAAACATTTAATCCTGAAATAGCTTAAACACTTAGGTATAACTATCATATTAATATGAAGTTTCTGTACAAGTGATACGACTGCTAAGAACTCTACTGCTTGATATGGTTGCATCCGATGTATAGAATGTAGGAACGCTTTACATTTTTCTTTGCCACTGTTTAATTTGTTTTGTGTAAATAAGCCCAAAAAAAATTTGTATTATATATAGGTACATTTTGAAATAAATAACAATACATAAGAATACAACTAAAGTAATACACAAATATATTATCTAATATCACATTCGCAAACTTTGGAGTTAGGACTGATGATAGAAACAACATTTTAAATTTAAGTATGGAAATATATAGATATATAATTGCATAGTATACAATCGGACAAATCCTTTTAAAACACGAAAAGAGTAGAAAAAATATTTTTACCAAAGCATAACTTATAATTTAACATTTAGCTTAATTTTGTTTTATGTCTCCATGAATCAGACATTATACCAGACTATCATATCAACGTAGCATGCAATTTAAGTTATTAAAAGAGATTCAAATATCATAATGAATATAATACAGTAAAACCTCTGAATAGCAGACACTCACGGGACCGACCAAATTGTCCGCTATTGAGAGGTGTCCGCTATTGGGAAAAATTGATAAAATAATATGTATGTATTTATGTCTGAAAATTTAAATTTTATTGACTTTTTAAACATTTATTTATCATTACATAATTTATTATAATTAGACGTAATAAAATATGTTATACAAAATTACTTATTGAAAAAAAAAATCTGAAATTTTAGTTTGTTTTTTTTCTTGTATTGCAATTGCCTCAAAATTAGACTGAAATGTCTTTATCGGTAAAATATATTGTATATTACATATTGTATTGTACCTATACCTACACAATAAGTTTGTATTTCTTGGACAGCTGTCCGTTATTTAGATATATTTAAACACTTCGGACTACCTAATCTGTCCGCGTCCGTTATTCAGAGGTGTCCGCTATTTAGAGGAGCATTATCTATTATTTTCAACGGGACTATGCCGGGACCGGAAATTTTGTCCGTTATTGAGAGGTGTCCGCTAATTAGAGGTGTCCGTTAAGAGAGGTTTCACTGTATATATATATATATCATTACGTACGTTGAGTATTTATACACTATCAGATGAATACAAATATATGTATACCTGTTATGGTTTCTGTTTGACCACAAATCCCAGTTGAAGAAAACTTTTAAAGTTTTCAAAATCTTCTATTAATTCTATGTAAGTTATTTATGATTATCAATTATTTTTCTATTCACATTAATCATACAATTTCAAATATTAATCCAATTTTCAAAGGAGAAATTATGAAGTTGTTGGTAAACAAACGGATCAATAGAATGATAAATACAATACGAAATTTTGACCTAAATTTCGCTACCTATCTCGAAGACACATACTTAATCTATAAAACAAATTTCAAGATGCTTGTCCAACAAAATGCTATAAGTTATAAGCACATTAAGCCGAAAAATACATCATTTAGTAGGTATACGACTATAGGTACGAGTAGCTACATCCCGTAATTCAATCTCGTCAATCGTGTACGGTTTATATATCTTAAAAGTGTGTAACACACTCGCACAATCATGAGCTACACACTTGCGTTATGAACGAAAAATATTGCGTTTATGGTATTTGAATTGAATTACAAAGTTTGTGCTGATTTGATAGTTTTTGTAATAGTGAAAACATTGTGATATGTTTGCTCCTTGGTGTAAACTGATGATTTCCAAAACCATTTTAATTGGGTAGGTACTTGGTTAAAGTTTAAAACAACATCACTGCACATGCTTCTGCGTATATTTTCGGTAAACATTTATTTTACGATTTTGTTTTTTATCTGCCGGTAGTTAACAGTCTATGGTACGTGAATACCACCGATACCTCAAGTCGAGTATGTTCGGAAATTCCTTTTTGAAGTACCAAAGTACCTATTTTTATCAGGTCGATTTTAATCACCAGTTGTAAACGTCGAAGAGTTATACGCGGTTGACACTAATCCTACACGGAAAAAAAATCCACTTATTAACAAATAAAAAAAATGAACAGTTATGTTTTATTCGATCTGACCAGAGAACAAAATAATATTATACTTTCATGTTAGCAGCTATAACAGTAATAATATGTATTGTGTTTTGAGTTTTTTTTTTTCGGCCAATTGATTATGTGTCACACAATGGTCGGGATGACTGGATTCGTCCAAATATATATTATATTGAGTTTACCGTATAATATTACGCCATAAAATGCAGAAGTCGATACACGCGAGTGCTATAGTGTATACGATTTTATTACATATTTCACGCATTTCAAACGTCGAATCCCAATAACATGCAGTATAACGTCCCGCTGAGGAACATTCACGGGCAACGACGCGACGCAAGCAATAAAGGACGTATTATCTCGATCAAATATTAGAACAATAGACGCTACGGGGTCCATTTGTAATCGATTGCCCTTTGGGGGGTACCTATATTATACTGTTGACCGTACACATTACTCGAAATTGGTAAACGGTTAGCACGTGTGCATGCGATCCCGAGACAATTGTGCGACTTATATTATTATGAGACACGCCGTGTGTGTGTCGGGTGGTGTCTTCGGCATATTGCACTAAATATTATACTGCTGTAGTTGAACCGTAATACAGTGTGCATAGCCGGATTAAGGGTCAATGTGTACAGCATGGAGCAAACAAACGAGTAGAAGAGCATGCCAAGTGAACCGACCCTGGCTGTATACATGCAATAGAAAATCACCAAACCATATTGTTGTCAGTTAACATGTATTTTTGTATTTCACATTATACAAACAATGTTATTGTTCCGAAAAAAAAATGTGAATTCCAGTATGCCAGGTATCTATATACAATTATAACAAAACAAATACCAGCATTCGTTATTCCAAGAAATGTTTATTTATCTATACGTATTTGGACCTGGGATTTCGGGACCCGTAAAATAGTATTTATTGTCGATGCTATAAAAAATAATATATTATTAAACAATGTGTGTGTGTGCGTGTGTGTGTGTGTGTGTGTGTGTGAATAAATCTGCGTTTATTATTTTATCGGAATTTTCGGATTTCCCTGATAAATTTTTCATCGTTTCTCAATCTCAGTAAATCCTATAGGTATTTATTTCACATCTCGTAACAATTCAATTATCCTGGATAACAATCAACAATTGAAAAAAATGGTCTAATCTTTCCTGGGATTGGTGATTGTCTCTTAATACGTATTTGTCGTGAGTAAAGCTCCCCGATATACAATACGAAAAATACGAAAACACGAACATATTAGTTCCCAACGAATTAGCCATAAATATTTTTCTAGGAAAATATAACGATACAATCATTTGTTGTGAAACTACAATGTTAAATTTATTTACAAATCTCATCAACATAGGTATAAACATATAGCTATATATTTCAAGCTATAGTTGCCATCTTTTAGCATATTACAGATCAAATATTATTCTTGTATACAATAAATCGCATTTGCACAACATGTTTTTCTTACATCAAAATTCTTCGGTAAAGAGAACACATTTTTTTCCTATCTAAATTCAAACAGTATACACAATCACGTAATGGATGCTGTAAGTAGGTAGATATATAATATATACTACCGGTCCCGTTGTTATTTATTTGCATTCAGAACAAAAATCGTTATTTTGTGAATTACATTTAATGCGTTTAAAACAAACCACCGTATAACTTATAGTGATTGTTGAGATTTTTTAAATAAATAACTAACGAAAATCGTAAGCCAAAGGATTATTGTTTTAAACATTTTTTGACAATCACAACTTAATAGAACAACTTTATTGATTCCGCAAAATTATTATGCCAAAGTGTTGACGTTCGTTTGCAATTGTTCGATTGTTCTTGACATACGCTATGAACAATAAATGAATAAAATATGAAATGAAAATAAACATAACTAATAAAACCTACCATTCACAAATGAATAAATGATACATTAATTATTCTAGAAGATAATAGTAGATATAGTTATATAGTACTTCGAATTCACACAAAACTAATGTAATGTACGCTATTTCATTACTCAATGTTAATGTTAATTTGATAGAATATAAAATAGTACTTAAAATGATCTTAAACTGTACTAACTGAATTCAATATTTTTCTGTCGAATCTACCCGATGTTTCCGATAGGTTCTGAACCTTACACGTATATTTTATTTACTCTAAACAAATAAAAAAATGTATGTACATATACAATAAGTTTCAAAAGTTGATTGATATCTTTATATTAATTTTATAAATTGATTATTATATAATGGTACGTGCAAAAAATATAATGTGGTAATAATGTAAAATAATATGAATACAAAGATTGTTAGTATGATACCTTTTTCCTGCTTCATGAATGTTTTCTATTAGATAACATAATTTATTACATTATTTTATTCTCTAACATAGTCGATTTGTTTTCTTTCAACTTTATGGGCAAATAAAAAAAATACTTTCTATTGTTGATTTCGTAAATTAAATGGTGATAACATAATATTATTATGAGACTTGTAAAAACAATTTGAAGTTTGAACTATACATTTCATATATGGTTGTGGTTTACTGCTGTATAGTATTATTTTTTAGAATAATGTATAAGAATGAATTACACAAATCTTATATGATGTCTACGCGAATCAAATTAGTGGTGTAATATTGCACTCGATACAAATAAACCTAAAAAAAAATATAACACAAAATATTAAAGTTTTCGTCTGTAAACATGTTGAAAAACTTTCAACCTAATCGGTTTTCTGTTTTCATTTTAAAAAAAATAGTGAATAATTGACTATATTTTTTACTATACACACTATATCGTTTGTTTCGATTCGCTCGCTTTTCAGGGACAGATGCGTCAAGTCCGGGCCCGGAAGAAAGTGGCCAAGACCGTGCTAGCGTTCGTGCTGGTGTTCGCTGTGTGCTTCCTGCCCTATCACGTGTTCATGTTGTGGTTCTACCTGAACCCCAAGTCCGAGGACGATTACAACTTATTCTGGCACGTGTTGCGCATCGCCGGCTTCTGCCTGTGCTACAGCAACTCGTGCATCAATCCCATCGCGCTCTACCTGGTCAGTGGCACTTTTCGCAAGCACTTCGACAGGCAGCTGTTCTGGTGGATCGTCAAGCCCCAAGGAGGTACGGTCACTGAATCCAAGAATGGCTACATGCGCCGGAAAAACGGCACCCGGGAGAAGGACAGGATCACCATCAACGATTCGACCACCATAGCCAACGTGCAGATGAGCACTTTCACCAAACGGGCCGGGGACACAAACATCACCACCACCACAGCCACCACGACGGTGCTCATCTGTGCCGGGCTCAACGACGCCAACACCATCATATAGGTATGATGTTGATAGGCTGTAGAGTTTTGTATTATAGGTAGACCTTATTGCAAAGACATTAAAAACGATAGGTATGACCGCGTGTCTTACTTACAATTTGTGTGCACTGTCCAGTGATTTATGATGTTCAATTCAAAACCACCCTCTCCGACTTTTAACAATTCTGTAACTGAAAACAATCTTGCAACAACGAGGTGCCTGACTTTGTTAAAATAATAATATCCTATATCACCCTTAAACATACATGTTGATAATACATTCATATCGATAAGCTCGAATAAGATCATAATTATATAGTCGTTTGCATTAAGGCAATCACGCCATACTGTTCCATTTAGACTTATAAATTATAAATGTAATATCCAAATAATTTTTTTTATAACTTTTCAAATTGATTTTCGATGTTTCTAATAAACAACAATAATTTTTACTATCTATATAAATCCTGATAAATCAAGACTCAAAAGTGATACAGATAGATTCGAATGGTTTAATTAATTATATTTAGAAGTAGCTACTTTATCACCGTTTGGATATCTATTTATATATTAGGTAGGTACGTATATAATAATATTAGTTGTATACCCCCTACCCACCTTCGCACTGGAAAAAAAATGAACAAACATAAAGTTTGAAGTTATAACGTGAATCTCGGTTTTAATGTTCATCCTCAGTTCACTGTAAAAACGGCATCGGTGTATCTCACTTAGTAAACTAATTCAACCGAAATGGGCAGATCTGTCTGTGGAGGATTTAATATAGGTGAAATAGTTCTTAGTATATTTTTGAACATGATTCAATCTACAATTCTCTAAAGTTATTTGGGATCTCTATGAACATTTTATGTTCGTATCAAAGTCAGTCAAATAAATTTTGATTTTACAGGGTGATCCATTTAACGCAGGGCAGTTTTATTTCAGAAAACAACTAAAGTTTTATAACTCTTTCGAATGACAACATATATTATTAATTTAATATTCCGAAGCTGGATATTATTCAGTGTATTTCAATAAAAATTAAATTTAGATAAAGCAAGATTATTGTTATAAGTACCTACTTAAAGTTAAGACGAAAGGAGTAATGGACAAACATTTTGTGGTTTACCCCTCTACCATTCCACTCCACTCATCTAAACTTTAGCTTCTAATTACTTTACTTATAATTCATAAAAACTACTAGTTCAAAATTCGGTTTTTATGAATCAAAGTACTCCAAATTGTATTCTTCTGTGAAATAAGGAATTAAAAATTCGTGTTGTCATTAAAACATTTTTAAGAATAATAATAAATAGATTTTTTCAGAAAAATGTTGTTTCTGACGACTTCATTATGTGAAAAAATTATTCGTACTTAAAAAACGTTGATAGTTATTTAAATTATGAGTGTCTTGCTTTAAATGAATCACCCGGTACAATCTAGAAACATAGGTGTATTAATTTGTATATAATATAATCTTATATTTCTATAATCAATGGCGACCTAATATACTACAAACTTTTTTTTATTATTCTTTATTTTAATTTTCCTGACATTAAGTCATCTTAACTTATTGCTAATGGAAATAACATATTTGTACATTTGAAGAATAGATGACAATAACAAAAATAGTCTAATAAGTCAGTAATTTTAAATACTACAGTGTTTGAATACAGTTGAACTCAACTCATATCCTACAAACAAAACATTTTATTTAAGCCAAAAAAAAATGTATGTGTTAGCCACCCTATAGTAACCTTTAGGGATGAAAAAAGAAGCTTAAAATATCCACATAGTCTCCAGGAATTTATTGATACAACTTTTATTGAAATCGGTCCAGTAGTTTCAGTATTTAGCCGTTAGTAAAACAATAATTTCACATTTATATATATAAATATAAACATCTGTGTCATCATCGTGATAAGTTGTGCCACGGACGATCGCATCAAAATAATTGAAATATTGTTTTAAAATACCAGTAGACATAAGGCTAAATCCTACCATGGATTTTCGATTAGTTGTATATTATTTACAACAAAAATATAATTGGGACAAGTCTTATAACTTTTAAGATTGTTTTTTTAATAACTTACTCTTCTTCTTCTTCTTAACAGCTTAGCGGACCATGTAAATCCATCGCTGCAACCACTATTCCATTCCATCCATCCCTACCATTCGCATCCTCTATTTGCATATTTTCATGAATTATTCTTAAATCTTTTCTTACCTCGTCCTTCCATTTGGTTCAGGGTTTTCCTGAGTCTTTTCCTCACAGTTATCCCTTCCGTAACTCGTTTCATAGTTTTTTCATCTGGCCTCCAAACATCTCTGTTGCACATGGGATATTTGTTCTCATAAAAGTGTTGTAAATACTTAATTTCTTGTGTCTAATAGTGATTATTTGTGTGTATTTTTAATACACGCAATATGTATATTATTATGTTTATATTGACTACATTATAGGTAATACTTTTACCAGAGAGCCTTTGATACTTGCAATTTTACTTCGGTTGTCCTATTAAACAGTTTATAACTCACTATTACGTCATGTTTAGAATAAACGAAATACACGCGATTCGTGATAATACAATAATAATATTAATATTGCGTTTGGAATCAGGGCTTGCACACGTTATATTTGATAAAAAACGATTGAAATTTGTAAACGTAATTATAACGAAAAACGATAAACATAAATAAATAAATAACACAAAACAAAACGTAATGTTTAACAAAATATATGATATATCATTAAACAAAACATAACGCAAAACGGTATATATCGTGTTCCATTAAACGAAATAATTAATTTCCAATTATTTAATAATACTTAGTAGTATTCAATTATTTATTCAGTCCTAGAATTAATTTTATTCCTTATCCGGCCTATCCGGGAGATCCCGTTTTAGATATTATTTTATAACTTAATAAGAAGGTATTAATAGAATAATTTAATCACCAATAGCTAATAATAGTGATACTCTAATAATATTGTACTGTACTATCTGTACTCATATGGTCGAAATTTATACCATTCAAGTTATTCAACTATTGTGTTCAGTGTTCAGTTTGTTCAGATTTGTTCAGTCGTCACTCGTCAGTGTTTGTCTAATTGTTGTCAAATGTTGAATATTTATATTTATATTATTATATTTAATATTTATAAATTCCTGCTTAAACGATATTCTCACCCACAATATTGTAAAACTTACTAAATGATTTTAACATTTATAACATTTTTTTTTTTTTAATGCAAGCCCTGGTTTGAATGTTTAAATGCGGGTCATGTTAGCTTTAGCGAAATCAGATTCAAACGTGTGTACCTATTAATTTTGAATTTTATAAGTTCAAACCATCCGTGAGATTATTCAACCTTTTCATTACTTTGTACTCATTCATAATACATAAATATCATAAGATTACTTTTTCGAGTGTTTTTGTTTATTTATTTAAGAGATTAATAATAATAAACTAATAATTTTAATATAAAATAAATAAATAACAAATAATATTAATAATTGATAAACTTTTAAAATAATTTAATACCAAATGTGGTTACAACACCAGTGTATACAAAAATAACTTTTTTTGTCCTTCTCCTGAGTTATTTTGTTGGTGTTTATGTTGATGTTTTATCTACCAAAATTAGGTATTTAATTTTATAATTAATTGCAACGCAAACATTAACAAATTTAATAAGTGAACTAACCTTAGGGTAAAATAATGTACCAACCTATTGCAGTGTATAATATAACCAATCTATAAATTTGGATTAAACGATACAATTTTTCTGTCAAAAATAATAACACGTTTTTGACACACAATAATATATGTGTACTCTCACCTTTTCGTGTCATTTTGCTGTGAGTTCGGGCACCTCTAAACAAAAAAAAATACATCCGTAATGATAATAATCTAATAGTGATCGAAATTCTGTCAAAAACCGGAATGATGGTATTGATAAAAGTGTAAAATATCTGAATTCGACTGCAGTAAAAGTTAACGACGCGGAAAATAATATTCGTGTCTCGTTCAAAAAACAGAAACAGTGCTCACAGCTTACTCTGCAAATTCGTTTTCATTCTGATAGCCAATGTATTTTACGAATTTATTTTATAATGGGCTTTTTTTTCAATTTACTACCTTTCTGTCCATTTCTACAGATCCGTATTATTATAATGTGCATATTCTTTCGCAGAACATTTCAGCCTTTCAGCCGGCTAACTGTATCAGTGATTAACATTTACATATAAATAAATAATTGCGCCAAGAAATATAGCTAGCACTGCGTGTATTTTGTGTAACATTTAAATTTACATAATTTAGGGGTTACGACTTTTGTGAAAATTGTTTAATTCATTTTATTTTCTCGTTACCATTTAAATTACAAATTATTTTTCTGAGTAGGTAGATACCTATATATTCTACAAACGTTCATTTTCGATGATCATTTTGAGTTTTTTTCGCGAGTTATAATCGGGGAACTGTATAATTTTGAAATATTGCCTAAAAGTCACGAGATAAAATAAATATGATAGGCGTAATATTAACAATATTATACTTTAACGAGCCAGAATACCTTGTACATAATCAGTAATACATAACGTATACGTTTACTGTCTTAAAATACAAATGGACTTAAATCAAAATTATATCAGCGTTATTAATTAATATCTATCGCATTACTTATATTTCTAATATGTCTTGTAGACTTGTAATCTATTTACTCGTATAATTGTATCATTATCATTAGATTTTGGCCATAATCTCTACTGTTATATCTTAATATGCACATTTCAATAATAAATAATTATTTTTTACGATTTTATGTTTTTACAAATAGAAAATGTCATGACGATCATTTAACGACGAAACGACGTCATTATTGTTGGCATATTACAACATTTCAATTCCGAAAATGCTGATACAAATATGTATGAAATATACAGTGAGAATTACCAAGCATGATCATCCTGTTTTTTCCTTTATAATGAATTTAACACAAACTACTCATTTGAATTTTGATTTAAATACTCAAACATTTTCCAAAAAACCATCTGCATAATAATTTACAGTAAAAAAGTCCTCGAATGAATAAAAAAAGTTTGGAACTTAGGACACTCTTAATCTTCAGAAGGTCACTTGGGTAAATTATTACAGCACTAATTTTGAATCATGTTTTAATATATTTTTGGGTGATGTAAAAATGATGAGATTTTTACTAATTTCTATTCATGTGTCATTTTATTAAATTTGAAAAAAAAATGTAAACGTATTTTTATTTACTTATTTATATTTATTTAAAATATAAATTTTTAATTTAAAATGAATAAACTTAAAAAAAAAAAATATTATAATGTTAAACCAAGGAAAATGTTAACCTGCGTGATGGAGTAGGTACTCTGAACCCACGCGAAATACTAAAAATTAAAATATAGTGCCAATACAAAACTCCAATGTTTCACAGTATAGTTCTCGATAAACTTAAAAATTCTGAAAATCAATACTTGAATAAACGCATTGTGATAAATAATGTAAAATGAGTATGACCATGCTTCGTGAAACACCCTGTATATTAATTTAGGTACACCAAGGTTATACAGCTGCATGTGTTTTATGATTATGCGGTATGTACCTATATTTAATGGTTGAACATTTATATTGCTCCAATATTGTATATTTTACTGTTATTGATATGTAGGTAGGCCATAAATATAATTTTATCTTGGAATATGTTGACCTTTATGTAATAATATAATATTAAATATTTGGGGGTTGCGAACGATCGATTTTTCAAAGGAACACGTTAATGATAATAATGGTGAATGCGACACTTGTCGAGTAACACTGTTTTTTTTTCACTGACACTACTACTTTTGTAATTTTTATAAATCATCGTTCTGTTGAGCAGCAAATAGAGAAAATAGATTTTAATTTGTTTTAAATGTTAGTTTAAAATGGGTCATCACGATTTTAATGTCATAATTTAATAAAAGTTTTAATTTCTGAAATTGTATGATTTTATAACCTAATTTAGGATAGATTAAAAATGTAGATATCATACAGTGGGGAATTCTATCTCATGTAATTTTTATGAGGGATTAATATGATTTCAGAATTGTTATCATTTAATTAGTTGGATAATCAGTATGATTGTCAAAAAATGACTTTGTTTTTATACCAAATAATTATGGCTTGCAACCCCCCGACGCCTAAAAATTCAAATGCATGATGTATACTGTACGCTTATTGAAGTATAATAAATAAATGTAATTATGTACAAATATTGCTTTATATAACTCTCTGTTAAGAATAGTTATTACTTTACTACCTACGATAGTGTTACGTATGTGCTCAATTAAGTTTGTACTTTTTTTTTCTTTACTATGGTTACCAACAATTATTTTTAACTCGTTGGTCAGACGATGAATACATAATATGACGCCTGTGGCAAAATATCTTAATATTCCCATTCACCCTAGCTTACAAAAAAAAATTACACTATTTTAAACTCGAGTGTGGTAATTCCCTACTGCTGCAACTTGATTTCATATTTGCACAAAAAAAGTATTCCTTATCCAATTCAATACTTAAAATCAAAATTAAAAATACAGTCATAGTATTGTAGTGTTTGGTACTCAAATTTTAGAATGTACACGGTTTGAAATTTAACCTAGTTTTTCCCGCCGTTTAACTGCTATATAGCCCGCATACTCTTATCCTAAGCAAACTATTTTGCTATTATTCCTATATTGAAACATTTTAATGGTGACAAACAAAATGTAAAATCTGACGTTTGCTTTTTCACGAAAGAAATAATAATGGAAACGAGCATCCTGAATGATTTTCAAGCATGTGTTGACAAATCATTTCTAGGCGAACCCCTTTAAGTGACACTCATTGTATCCCAAATTTCCCGATGGGTCTTATAATATATTCTTTATATATATTATATATATAATATTATAATAAGACATGTATGGAGACATTTTACACATTTCAAGACGAAAAGATTTTAATACTTCTATCACTTGATATTGACGAGCGTGTTTCATTTTTATTCCATTTTTTTTTCGGTCACAGACAAGAACATTATTTCAGAACATAATATACGACGTTCAACCGTGGACCAAGGTTACCACGTTTACCATATCCCATAGGTGTTCATTTCCTTGTTAAACGAATATAAATATTATTAATTTTGTCTATAAACACTCGTACCTATGCATTTAATATATTTTGTCATTCAATATTCAGCGGCACCGTATAATTTGTGCAATGTTATGCATAATCTACGTGAGACTAAGCTTAATAGAAGTGAACTAAAATTACACTCCCACCGATTTCAAAACAAATCTCATTTATTACTAAACCTACAATACGTGTATAGAATTATTGATTATAATCATCGTGAGTTATGGATTCGGGTATTCTAATTTATTATGCAAAGGGTCACATACCTAAATGTTTACACAAATATGATATTAAAAACAATGAAATTAAGTATAAAAACAAAAATACAAAAAAAAAATACCTGTGAAATTCCTAAAGGTATACGTTTTAGAATTCACAAAATTAAAGCATATTTTTAAAACCATGTATTTTATAATTTATAATCTCACTTTTGATGATATATATAATTAAGTTAGGTACGACATAAAACGTTTTAACTAAACTAAATTTCTTGGCATTTTTTAAGATTCATAGTTTATCATATGGTCGTACGATATCATTCAAATATTTTAAATTTACTTTTTAAACCACAATATTTATTTTTAAATAAAACTATATGAAAAATATTTTTTTGCAATACATATACAATTGAGTTTTTAAGAATAGAAAATGATTGTATGATCTGGACCATATTTTTCATGTTCCGTAAATTATAATTTATATTAATTGCGAAAACTTCCATGATATAGTCCAGGTAGGTAGTTAAGATTTTTATTAACTTCTGTAAATTTTTAGTTAATTATTAATTATTAGTTCTTTATTGTTTTCTGCTTTCGCAAAACTTTCATCTAAGTAGGTACACAATTTAAAAATATTAATTTCAAAAAACATCCTTAAATTAAATTATAACTTCTAAGTCATAATGATATGGATATCCTCTAAATGTGTGAAATATTAAAAAATATACAATAAAAATAGTTGAATACCTATTTATTAACTTCGTTATTCGAGTGTTTGATGTATTATCTACTTTGATAATACACTTATGAATTGATGATAAAATTCAATAAAAAAAACCAGAAAAAATTTACCAATGATCGAAAGTCCTTGCTCTATTTATTATATTATTTTGTATCGTCGACCTTAAAGGTAAAAATCTAATTCTAAGTTATACGTGTTTTCATATTATTTATTGCGAGCATCATATCAGTAATTGTATTTTAATTTGGACAGTTTGGTCATGTATGATTTCTTACAATTTAAAATTTAGTCTTTTTTTATAAAATACTATGTAAGTAGTTAAGATTATTTAATTAAATTTATTGTGAAATATGTAATTATATTAATAAATTAAAGTTAAAAGTCCTATTAATATTTTAGAATAATTATTATAAGCTTGTTAATGATCATAGTAGTTAGTAATTATTATTGGATGACATAAATATAATTGTTTTATATGTATATACACATACATTATATTATATAATAATAATAATATATTAAAATGATACTTTTATTTGTTTATTTTTTTTCTACAAACCTAAATATCATCAATATGTAAAAATGCCCATTTCAGAAAATATTCAGACGAAATAAACGCTTTACAATAAGTAACTTAAATAATTTATTGCATCTCAAATATCTTCGACATTCTAACAATTAATAATGATGTGAAAGATTAAATTGCCGAATATCACCTGTTGATTACGCCCTTCATAAGCAAAAATTGACATAATATTTCAACTTAAGCTCCCATTTTCGAAACTTCAAAGTAGGTAGCTATTTTGATTAAAATGTTTTCTAAAATCTTTCATATTTTAATAGAAGTGAACAAGAATCTTAATAGTGTCAGAATTATTTTATAAGTAACAATGTTGTACAAAAACATAATATTGACATACTCAATTAAATACTACTAAATCAATATAGAAATTTGGGCTTTAAGAAATTAAGAAAATGCTCTTTAAAATATATTTAAACAATTTTAAAATCTCTAAAAATAAAATATACTTTAAACAAAAGATTCAGTGATAATTTTCATAGGTTGTGTTTTTATAATGAGGGAAATCGATATCACTCTGATATTAGTTGACCTTTAAAAATGTTTATTGGTTACACGTGCTTAGATAAAAATATATAATATTATTTTTATGATGTAATTTTTACACATCATGCATATTAAACATAATATACATAACTCGTACACGTATCTTCTATATCTTCATATATTACCATATGGGTAGACGTTTACACCTAAGTACCTAATAACAATCCTATTTTTATGCATTTATGTATTTTTGGCTTCCGTATAATTTTTTCTAAGGATTATTATTAAGTATTCCAAGGCCAACTATTATAACTGAAGTATTATGTAAAAATAATTTTAAAAATGTTATCCTTCTTTATTTTCTTTCGCATTTTTTCTGTACATCAGTTACTTTAACATAATTTTACTTATCATTTTATTATAACATTTATAACAAAAAAATATATAAAGGTATTTCGATGAAAAAAAAATTAAACTTATTTAACATTTTTTATTAATTATACATCGTGATTCATCAAACATTCTCCCCCCTCATTTGTTTTCAATAAAGCAGTTGTTCAAAATCTGATGTTTGGAATTTTTAAATAATTTGTATGTACTTCAACACCATATCTTCAAATTCTTGAAATTTTTTTAACTACGTAACATAAACGTAATACAAAGAAGTACAGATGTTTTTTTTAACTTTTGTTTTTCAAATCAGAACCTCACTTTTTACTGTAAATTATTTAGTAGATATTTTTTCTGGAATGTTTACGTAGTCTTAAGTTTTTTAACTTTGTGTTATCAGAGTTGTAGTTCCATGACAATGGGTTTGAAAGATATTTGGGTTAACGTGCTTTGAACATTTTATTAATTGATATTTATCTACATTTATATTTATAATTTGTTTAAATGGTCCAAGTATACTAAATACTAGATCCAATATTACATGTATTTTATATTTTTTTTAAACTATTTTCAGGGCAATTATACTTAGTATAAATATTGCAATAAGAGAGAAATACTAAGTGTAAGTTTGATTCATCTGAGTACACTCCTATTAAGTTTTTAATTGTACATATTATGGTCTTTGAGTATATATTTTGAAAATTCCAAAAATCGGCGTTTGAATTAATTCATTATTAAAAAAAAAATTGAGTTGATCAAGCTTGGTGAATACACCAGTACATTATTATAATATATTAGCTTTATGACTTTTGCAAGTATAGGACTCTAGATATACATTTTGGTATACAATTTAATTTATCGTTTACCTACATCTATAAGGTATCCTATCAACGGAAGAGATAGTCATGGGAAATCATTGAATGCATTATATTGTATATAGGTATAAACAAATAATCATTCATCACTAGACAGGTTATTGTAAATAATTACTTCCGGTATAATTTTAAGCATTTGAACATATCACTATTATTTTCAACATAATTTGTATGATGGACGTGGCGCAAGCGTAAATACTTATTAATAACTTGCAGATTTGAACGTATAATCTTAATATGTCTTTGTTTAATACTGTAAATCTGTGACGATGGGAATCATTATCATATAGTACTAACTTAACAATATTAAATATGACCATTAACTTCGCTCATACTGCGTACATTAAGTATGATGTTTATGTAACGAACCTACGAACCCTGATTTATTTTGGACAAATCAAACTTTTGGGGAGCTCGAACTGAACCAAACATAAACAAATGTTATACAACCCAAACTGATCCAAAATATTAAATTTGTATATTTGAATCAAACCAAAGTTATAAAAAAAGTTCAAAAAAATAATATGTGAATACAAAATTATGAAAAGTGCTTAAACAATGAAATATTTTACGTATATTTACCCAGTTTCAAACCCATTTCAAACTTTCCAAATTTTTCCACGACAATAATATTTGGCACGTGATTTGCGTGGATTGTAAAATCTTACTGAAATTTGTACTGCAAAGCTTTACCCAGAAAATTCAATTTTCCGGAGAAACGTTTCTCTTAAAATTAAAGAAATGGGTTTGCTTTATAAGTTATAAGTTATAACCATAAATGTGTAGGTACATCTCATCGTCTATGGACGCTGCACTATATGAAAAGTGAATAGATCAGGAATTAATGATTTGACCGACTTTTGGGTAATGTTTCATAGAAAGTTATCGTGATTATGTGTTATTCAAAATAAATCATGATACTATATTATCCTATTTTTGTAATTAATTTCAACTACACGAGCTTTCATACATAACTACATACACCAACTTCGTACACATACTTCACTTTCACAAATTAAGCACGCAACACTGTAAGCCAATTTTTGCCGTGCATGTATTATATAATATAATGGTGAGAATAATTGTTTTCGAAAAAAATACCTACATGTTGAGCCAGTGGGCTCACCATTGAACGCGAATACCCGATCCACTTCAATATCTGAAAATAATTTATGTACACATTAACATCAAACACGGACCTTCGTCCTCAGGACTACAATTTATAATAATACTGTTGGTGACATTGACTGTCAACAGGTAAAAAGGTGTGAACAGTATGATTTATTGTTCCAATTGTTAAGAACACGCAAAAAATGATATAATATTGTTTGAAATAAAACGTACTTTAACTAGGTCCACTGCATACATCAATCTACTCATTTAAATATTAAAATTAAAACAAACTAAAAAAATTGCATAGCATATTAATTACTTCAGTAATAATTGTATGCATTTCCGATACAACATGGTGTTTACCTTATATAAGTACAATTTATTTCTATTTTTTAGCATTTTGGAAATTATAGTATAAGTGTAAATTATCTGTGTGTGTTATTACTAAAATAGTGCACGGTTTACATTTAAAATCAAATATAAAATAATTGTTACATAATAATTACATCAGATACTTACTTATTTTATCCTAATAATAGACGTCTACGGCACTAATAATAAGGTAGGTAATTATAATTTATAAATACCATTGACAAATGTAACCTTTCTAAGCTACAGGGGTTGATAATCCAAAAACATAATGATATTTTACTATTACAATACAACACCGTCAAAAAGTTATTCGTCTGAAAAATGTACCCAATAATATTGTCACCCTGTCAAGTTTTTTCAGAGTAACAAATATTTCTACAGTTAATTTGAATGGAAACAATAATAATAATAGTAGGTTTTAAAATAGCACATCATTCTAGTTTTTAATAATCAGGTAAAAACCATTTTCCGACAAAAACATACTGTGCTTAGTATTATAAATTAATTATAACGTACTGTCACATTAGTAAATGTATCCAACGTTGGATGTATAAAATATAAAAGTATATGACATTTATTTCAATCCATATCTATTTCAGGGTTATTATTATCAATAATATACCATGGTACATACTAAAACTCCAGTAATTTTATCATGTAGACATTTTGGACGGTTTCCATTAGGATTATAACAATGTTATTTAATATTTAATGTTCGTTATTGCCATTTCATTTCATTTGATAAATAGTAATAAATTATTAGCATTATCTAGGTAGGTACTAAATTAAATGTTCGCAAAACAAATTCCACTCCATTGCTAAATGCGTCAACCGGATACTCGAATTATTCATACCTAATCGGATCGATCTGAAAATATGTTTTATTATACCACATGTGGGTAAAATGTGTAGGTATATTTGGTTATTTTATTGTCTATTGGTTATATAATATGGTCCGAAGTAAAAATGTAATCATACGTACATATTGTAGCACGTTAAAAGTTCGAAACCATATATTATGATATTATACTTGTACAAACTTAAAGAAGTTTTAAGGACTTAAATTAAATCTTCTTGAACTAGATAACTACTTGTCAAACATTTATACAGGTGGTTCTAACAAAAAAAACAAGGGGGACCACATATTGTAGAGAAATAATCAAATCAATAAAACAACATTATCTTTTTTTATAAAATAAGTATAATTACAATATTTGAAATTGGTAGCATAAAATGATCATGTATATCAAATTCACATTTTGGAAATGATACGGAACAGTTTTATTCAA